TATCTCCCATTCTCTTCATCCCTCTCTCTCTCTCTCTCTCTCTCCCACTCTCTTCCTCTCTCCATCTCTCTCTCTCTCTCCCATTCTCTTCATCCCCCTCTCTCTCTCTCTCCCACTTTCTTCCTCTCTCTCTCTCTCTCTCTCCCATTCTCTTCATCCCCCTCTCTTTCTCTCTCTCCCATTCTTTTCATCCCTCTCTCTCTCTCTCTCTATCTCCCATTCTCTTCATCCCTCTCTTTCTCTCTCTCTCCGTTTCCCTTCATCCCTCTCTCTCTCTCTATCTCCCATTCTCTTCATCCCTCTCTTTCTCTCTCTCTCTCCGTTTCTCTTCATCCCCCTCTCTCTCTCTCTCTCTCCCATTCTCTTCATCCCTCTCTTTCTCTCTCTCTCCGTTTCTCTTCATCCCTCTCTCTCTCTCTATCTCTCTCTATCTCCCATTCCCTTCACCCCCTCCCCCTTCTCTCTTTCTTTATGACATGGTGTTTGACGGTTCATTGGGGAGGGTTCTGTTAATTTACAAAGGTTGAAAGCACTAATAATAATGATAATAATAATAATAGTGGGTTCTTGTATAGCGCTCATGTCTGTCAGACTTGACACTCCTGGCGCTCCCGATCATTACCCTGGCTTTAGCACGGCTGCCATTATGGCGCTCAAGCATTTCAAGGAGTTAATTCCTGCGATCCATAAGATTCCAACCATCTTTACTTTCACCTCGCTCTTGTCCATATGTTATATTTTGTGTTGTCAACTGTTAACTATATACATGACTTGTGACTCTTTTCAGCAACCCTTTTTAAAATCATTTTTCGCTAGAAAATGCTGATCTATATGTTTACCTTTGTTATATTTTATGTTTTACGGTTTGAGTGGAAATAAGTTTGAAAATAAATTTATCCACACCTTGGCCTGGGCCTCGAGAGGGGATTCAAACAGCTCAGCAATTACATTTGTTTTGCTTATGCAATAGTAAGTCTCCTTTTAGAGTATGGAATATTTCGGGTGTTTCCAATTCAGAGAAAGCTGACATTTATTGGCTTATATACCTAAACTAGTAAATAGCAGTATATGAACACGTGGCTGAATGTCTTTTTCTTAGTCAGAAACCTGTCAAAGAAGGACAAACTTACCTATTGCCCCTCCATCAAATACACTGTACGCTATAATGTTTCAATGGGATGTCGACAATAATCTTACGACGATTTCGTCAAACGATGCCCTGGTTGTTTTGAATGATTATCCGTCATGAAATATGATTTCCATCAGAACTTTCGCTTTTCTGCACAGTTCCCTCGTTATTGTTTGTTTTGTTTTATCGCCAATTTGATGCCAGGGTAGGCTTATCCTGCAATGGAGAAGCTCCATGCAGGCTGGTATGCCGTTCGATGCATATATATTTATTGTTTATTTATTATTTATTTATAAATTTATTTATTTATTTACTACTTATTTTATTTATTCAATTCATTAATTTATAAATTTATTATAAGGTTTATAGGTTTATTTGTTGTTTTCTATATATTGCCGTGATAGACAATCCACATGGTCCTCAATATTGTACACGTACGTTTAAATACTAAACGTAACGACCATTTTACATTACTCGCTATTTTCATCTTATACAGTTGCTTGATGAAATAAAAAATCCTATTTACTATCTTATACTGAACATATCTTAAACCGATATCTGGAGTTTTATGCTTATTCATCGGGTTTAGACAGATATGAATTAAAAAAATTATCACTGAGAGATTTTCGAGGGACACATGTTACTAATTCTTCAAGTTCAAGTTCAAGTTTGTTTATTTATTTCATTTTCATAAAAAAACACAGCAAGTGGAAATAAACATACAAATATATATACATACAAGGAATGGTCAGAGTTAAAGTAGGTATTCATTGATTTAAAAAACTAACTTTATTTTTATTTATTGCAAAGTTGAAACTTGATTCAACAAGGTTATCAAAATTCAATGCTTGGAAACATTCGAAGTAATGATTATTATACATTACAAAACGCTTGAATACAGCCCCGGCAGAGCACCTGAAGAGCTCTCCGAACGCTGCTGAGATGTGTGAGATCACAGTACGGACATGATTTGCACAAGCAGACGATGTCCCATGACATCTCACGCATTATCAGTGCCTGTTTTTCATCTTCTCTTGAGTACTTCCTCTTTCGTCACTACCGTCAGGCTAAATGTATAATCTATTGCTTCACTCTAAACCCCGCGCATGGTTTTATTTTGATGACAAATGCAGCGATACAAAAATAAAGGAATCTGTCGCTTGTAAACAAAATAAGACGCCATTGTATATTCAGCTGCACACCCCGCGGTATGTTCGGCGGTTTAAGAGGGAACAAATGCTATCCTCAATATCATTCCGGAGGGTTTTCAATTTGAAAGTCTGGTTTCTTTGATTGTTAATTAACCCCTATCCTGTGTATTTACAAGCAAAATATTTTAGTTATCAGAATCGGGTCATATCCCCTTTTGAATGGTTTGACTTGCCAGTACATTTATATACACTAAACTCATTATAATTTGACAAATAATAGCTTTGCAATTATGTTCATTCTTGATGGGATGTCGTCTGCTTGGGCAGTATTGGTCCATATAGTGACGTCATTAAAACATCGTTATTTTCCGGCGAATTTCTCGTATATCCCAGCTGCTATGGAGGTGGTTGTTTTAATGTATTTTTATAAATCACCCGAAATGTAGTTGACCTAAAACTTGTACGATGGCCATCTGTTAGATTACCAGTTTCTAGTGATACATTAGTTGACATATTTGTGATTTTCTTTGAATTTCACCTTTAATACAATAGTTTTAAATGAAATTGGAGAACAAAGAAAAAGCCCATGGTGGCTTTGTATACAAATTTCCCGAATATTATAATTTATATTATTTATATTATTGAGCATATATGAGTTAAAGATAGCACAAAATACAGCGATAAACACAATATAAAGAAGAATAAAAACGACAAAAACATGTATGAAATAATTTAAAATTGGAGGGGGGGGGGGGCAAAAAGGTTTGGAAAGTAAATTTAACGATACTCAGAATAAAATGTATATCTGGACTCGCTGTAAAGATGTAATAAATGCATTTTGTTGATGTTACCGTAATCCTCGTGAGTGATGTTATTAACTGTGTTATATACGAGATCTCAAGGTCATCAATGAACTATCTACAAGTAATATCAGAATCAAAATAATCAATATTGACATCACCAAGAATGACTATTTTTTGATCTAAATTTACACTAATTGTAATTCATCGAACAAAATAATGATCAAACCAATCTGGTTGTGCATTTGGAGGACTGTATAAACAGTAAACTGTCAAACTTTCGTGTTTTAGTTCAATCTATACTGCTTCTAAGGAATCATGATCTATACCATTCCTTTTACAATAAGAAAAGAGTATTACGAATATAGATGCAGACACCACTACCACCACGTTAATCGCATATATCTTTTCTTACTTAGCCATATTTATCGATTTGAACACCATTAATTATCTATTACCAAACTGTTAACCACGTTTCAGATACTATTTATGTCAAGTTCGGATTTGTTTAAGAGAAAGGTTATTTGTTCATTTTAACTATAAGTATACTGCGGACATTTCAATGTGCCATATTACGACCAACATGGTCCTGAAGAATACCTGCAAGAATTTATAATAACCAAGATGATAACTGTTAGCAGTAGAATCATTATCAATATAATAAGGTATTAATAGGCAGATCGGATGCTGTAGGAGACACGTGATTCTGTTAATTGTTTAGATTTGGGTTGCAATCGCAAGAGGAAATGCGCTTTTAAAAGATAAGATTCATCCAATGTTTCACGATAGTCATAAATCAAGATTGTTCCGTTGTCAATAGCAAACCCAAGACGAAAATCCAATTTAATCCCCATTGAATTCCTCTATTGAATCCCAATTGAATACCAATTGGCAATTTGGAGTACATGGATAGTGAAACAATGGGTACCTATTGAAACCAATTGGCAATGGGTCCCCATTGAAACCAACTGGCAATTAGTTTTAATGGGGACTAATTGCCAATTGGTTTCCAATAGGAACCCATTGTTTTACTTTTCATGTACACCAAATTGCCAATTGGTATTCAATTGGGATTCAATTGATAAATCGATCCAGTTAGAAGAACCAGTGACACCAATTAGGTTTATTCTATTCTCAACTGTATTAACTCCATCACATAGATCATTTGAAGTGTATTCAAGAGAAATATTTAAAGTGACCGAGCTCGTACACATATGTGTACACAATTTGGAGTACATGGATAGTGAAACAATGGGTACCTATTGAAACCAATTGGCAATGGGTCCCCATTATGTGTACGAGCTTGTGTAAACTTTAAATATACTAAATATGTATATTGTTTCTTGGTTAGTAATCATATAATCAATATATCTATTGCTAAAACGTGAATGGAATTGTATTATGATCAGACAAAATAATCTATTGGTTAATAATTGCCGAAGGAAAATAGAAATCACAAAAATGATGTGCATTGTCTTAATTTGCTTAACAAATCATGATAAATGTATTTTTCTGTCACACGTGTAAAGTAATAATGAATATGCATAGATCTGTTGGTTTCTATTAGTCCTATTGGTTTCTATTGGTCTTATATCGTCCTATTGGTTTCTATTTGTCTAATTGGTTTCTATTTAACATTGGTCCTATTGGTTTCAATTGGTTTCAATTGGCCCTATTAGACTTTAATGGGATTTCAATTGGACCAATCGGCCCCATTATACTTTAAAAGGTTTTCAATTAGTTTCAATTGGACCAATTGAAGTCCAACTTCAGGCCAATTGGTCCAATTGAAACCAATTGGGGTCCCATTAAAGTCTAATGGGGCCTAGGCCAATGGGGCCAAGAGGTCCAATTGGTCCAATAGGGACAATCTGGACCAATTGAAACCGTCTGAAGTCCTATTAAAGTCCCATTGAAACCTGTTAAAACATATTGAGACCAATTGAAACCAATTGGAACCAATTGGAACCATACTTGTTGCGATAATGGTGGTCTATCAAACTTCAGAGAAATTATGATGAAGTTATCATGATATCAATGATAATAGCATTAATACTAATAATGATGGGGATACTAATATTAATACGAAGAAGAACAACAATATCATTTTACATCTAGCCTGTATACTGTGGGCCTATTCCTCAACAAAACTAGAACATGACTCCACTTGTACTTCTTGTACAGCAATATCTCCTTGGTTCACAGCGCCGTCGTCCAGACGGATAGCGACAAGGAAGACGGATCTCCGGATGGTATGGCATAAGATATTGGCTCCATTCATAGACAGTGTACCTTGAGATGACAACGACTCCGTGCACTCTTGACGAAGGACCCATTGCTTGAATCCAGAGAACTTTGAAAGAAAAAAGTAAACACATTACATAATTAAAGGATGCTAGGACACTATTAACTTCCAACTTTACCAAATATGTAAAAGCAGTCGTTAAGTACCACGCTTTGCGGCAAAAGATCAACAACAAAAGGTCCAACAATTCCAAGAAAACCTGCACCCCCGAAAAAATGTATAAGGAATACAATTATTAATACCATTTATTGTGAAATGCTGACAAGTTGACCAAAATTCGGAAAAAAAAAAATTGTTTTTTTGTTTGTTTGTTGTTGTTGTTGTCGATTTTTTTTTTTTTTTTTTTTTTTTGGGGGGGGGGGGGGGTTTAAAATTAGGAATGTCGCACACCCCTAAGGAAGTATCCATCATGAGACAAAATTGATGATGGGTGGAGATGGCGATGGCATGAGAGGATGGAAGAATGAGAATGAGAATTATTCTTCAATTTACCTGAACAATCTGTAATGGTTGACCATCCGCGTTAAATGCTGTAATTAGAAACTGCTTGATGTTTTGGACAGGGCAGATGGGCACTTCTAATACAGGAGATCGCCGTGCACGTGGTGCGTTGGAAGGTTCAGGTTCCCACAGAAGATTGTCATAGCTCCCTAATTCGTCGTCCCCCCGGTTCCCCCCGAATTCTTTGTACACCTCCAACACTCGCGCCATCTGGTCTTCGGTGAAATCAGTTATAATCGGTTGTTGGTTTTGGTACGTTAGTGTTCTGTTGGCTTGGAGAGCATCGATGAAACCACTTTGCTTGGCTGCGGCAATCTCGGCAGACTGTGCTTGGCCTAAGACGATAGGTTCGCATGGTACGATCTTTGGTTTGCGGCAACATCCTCGGGTGAGCACGATGGTTGTGGCGAATATCAAGAGCTTGCAAGGTTGTACAGACATCATGGTACGTTGTTACCTCTTTGAGTCAAAATGAAAACTTTTAACGGAAAAGAAAATTCAAGAACAACCAACAATTTTAGTTCAACTAAATCATGTGATAATTTTATGAATTCGTCCTCACTATATGCAGCCCGTTAGATCATTTGTGAAATCATTGTGTCGGAACATGACTTTTGGGGGAATCAGATTCAGGAATGTACCATGAGGCCTCAATCAGAATATATGCAGTTCTACTTAGCTTCTTCAATGAACCAAACCTCATCTGCTGTAGCTGTGACTGGGGATCAAAACTTAGATTTTTTTAATTTTTTCAGTTCAGTTCAGTTTGTTTTATTATCATTTCGCAGCCCCAGCTGAATTACATGACAATTTACAATCAAGTTCAAAATAACATCAAAAAAAAAACTTTTAACGGAAAAGAAAATTCAAGAACAACCAACAATTTTAGTTCAACTAAATCATGTGATAATTTTATGAATTCGTCCTCACTATATGCAGCCCGTTAGATCATTTGTGAAATCATTGTGTCGGAACATGACTTTTGGGGGAATCAGATTCAGGAATGTACCATGAGGCCTCAATCAGAATATATGCAGTTCTACTTAGCTTCTTCAATGAACCAAACCTCATCTGCTGTAGCTGTGACTGGGGATCAAAACTTAGATTTTTTTAATTTTTTCAGTTCAGTTCAGTTTGTTTTATTATCATTTCGCAGCCCCAGCTGAATTACATGACAATTTACAATCAAGTTCAAAATAACATCACATTTCATTTCTAAACAGCATATTTCATAACACAATGCAAAGGTATATACAAAACATGTAATATAATTAATATTAGTAAATCTGAGAAACATAAATACTTACAGTTTTCTGAACCTATTTCCAGAAAATTTCTCATGATAGCTCGTCTGTAGTTGAAGGAGTATTTGCGTTTGTTTTGAACAGTTAGAACAAATATAATTCATGAATTTTATTAAAAGAAAGAAAGAAAAAAACATGGATGGAATACTTTAAGCTTTGATCAAGAGCCACTTATTTTTATACTTATTTACATACTTATCTTTTCATATTTCATATGATAATTTCAGGCTACATATATTTACCTTGTTATATTTTAATTTGGTCAGGAGAACGAAAGAAATATTAGAAAATACCAAACATGTACAAATGTAGCCTCAGGCATTATTCATTATCATTATTATTCATCATTTATCATTATTATCTATTATTATTCATTTACTTTTCACCCCTCTCACACAACCAACTGATTTTATTCATTAAAGCCCAAGTCCACTCCAAAAATAGCTTACTTTCAATAGAAGCAGAAAAATCAGACTAACCAATTTAAAAAAAGTCTGAGCAAAATCGGATAACTAATAAGAAAGTTATGAATATTAAATGACAACTTAGAAAATCACTAGACAAATTGGCAACTCACGCATGAGTCTGTGAAGTCATGTCCTCACTATCCACTAATTATTTTCTTTATATTGATGATATGAATTTTCTATTTTCTCCTTAAGAATCTTATTTCTTCACACCAGCATCCAAGTTAGATTAATAGTAATATGTTTTTGTGTGGATGCACTAATATAGAGTAATTCTTTTCCAGTTAAATCATGAACAATTTGAATTTTGATTAACTATTTATATAAAAATCAATAATTATTAATATACAATATTTAGAAAAAAGTATAAATTCTTTAAAGTTCATAAAAGATTTTGTGAAATATCATGCACGCAGCATGATACAAATCATATAACCTGGGCAAAGGCATAGGGAAATCAAGTTTTGGGGAATAAAAAGGGAATTAATGGGATTAAACAATATCGAGCAATAAGTAGCAATAAGTAGTGGCATCTTGGCAATTTGTGTTGTGATTCTCATTGTTCCATAGTTTTACATACTTTTTTAAAAATTCAGAACTTTCCTATTGGTTATCCGATTTTGCTCAAGCTTTTTTTGATTGGTTTGTCTGATTTTTCTGCTTTTATTGAAATTAAGTTATTTTTCGAGTGGACTTGTCCTTTAAGGCAAGAAGTTAAGAATGCGACGGGGCTGTTCTGGTACCATTTGGTCCTGGCATGAACATTTTTGTACTTTCTGCTTATACAAAGCTTCATGGTATGAGTTGTATCATTGACTGGGAACAATTCGGAGTACCTTTGCGACTGCATACATGCGACAGCAAACTTTGTACTAAGGTCATGCCTTCTTTCTTCCATAGTTTCCATCGTCGTTTTCCTGAGAGAATTTTCATAGGACTCATAATGAGGGACAAGAACAATTCTCATCGCTCTCTTCTGTTTCTTTTCCAGGTCACTAGTCTGTTGCTTACTGAGTCCAGAGTGCCACACCGGTGCCGCGTATTCAAGAGCTGGCCGCACGTAGGACTTATACACAGCTGCTAAGTCTTCATGAGGGATTCTGAACTTTTTCAATCTACTCAAACTGTGTAATCTTTGCTTGCTCTTTGACATTAGCTCTTTAACTTGCTTTCCCCATGTCAGGTCATCTTGAATCCAGACACCCATAATCTTTGTCTCAGCTACCACATCCAAAACATTCGGGCCTAAGGTTATGACAGGTGGCTCTGGTTGTGACCGCTTGAAGCCAACCTGGAGTTGTTTTCACTTGGCCGCATTCAGGTGTAAGTGATGTTGGTCAGCCCATTGTCCAAGCTCATTGACGACCTGTTGCAGACAAGAGAGCTCATTCACTTGTATTGTTTCTCCGATGCTATATAAGGTCGTCCACATAATTCCAAGTATGTAGCTCAGTTGATCCTAGTGCATCGTTGATAAGTGCGAGAAAAGCCAGCGGGCCGATCTTTGTTCCCTAAGGGACACCACAGGTTAGACCCTTCCAAGCAGAAACAACATTTTGGTACTTCGCTCTCTGTTGCCTGTTGGTCAGAAAATCACCAATCAATGGGATGATTTCAGGGCGAACTCCGATTTCTAGAAGTTTGGTAACAACCATGTTGTGGTCAATTGAGTCAAAGGCTTTTGAGAAGTCTGTTACTACAAGATTTCCAACAAAGTTGGGCTTATCCGACCCCTTGTAAAATGGATGCATCATCTCAACTAAACAGTGAATGGTACAGGAGCCTTCCAAGCTCCCATACTGTTTTCGATCAATATTTGGTCCCATGTCCTCTTTGATCCATTTAGCTACAAATCCTTCACAGACTTTGGCACACTGTGATGTAAGCGACACAGGTCTGAGTTTCGTGACGACCGGAGGTTTCTCTTTTGGCACAGGAACAACATCAGCGTCTTTCCAGATAATCCTCATAACATGAAGTTATGGTAACAAACAAGACGGAACTGTTAATAAAAAGCCCGATATAAATGTCCTTGATGTGTGTGTGTGAAGCAGTGGCGTAATGAGCAAAAACGTTTGGGGGGGGGGGGGGGCTGACAAAAAAAATCTGAACCAACCCACTCTAACATGCAGGCCCTGCTGAACGTTTCTCAAAGTGGGGTCTAGGGGCAAGCCCCGGCGGGGGTCAAGGGGCGGAGCCCCCGAAGCTCAAGGGGTATGGGCATCAGTGGCGCCGGGATCCAGGAATTTCTTACCGGGGGAGGGGGCACAAAATGGCATGGGGTGAAATATATGTAAAACGATGAAGCGTCAGAACGAGGCTTCAACGGCGAGGGAGCAGAGCGACCAAGCAGGGGTCGGGTCTAGGAGGGGGCCAGCAGAGTAAGAAGCATTTGCAATTTTGGAACCAAATTAGACGCATTTTCAGGCACTTCCTGGAGTAATATGACGTAAAATTGCTTTCTCCTACCCCTTCCAAGAGTAGGGATCTTTTGCAATTTGAGAAGCACAGTTTGCGCATTAATGTCCACCGGCACTTCCTGGAGAAAAAAAGAGGCCTTCTGATTGATTAGAAGTAAGAGAAAAGTGATCTGTCACGTCGTGAGCCCGGCTCCCCCTCCCCCCCCCCCACTCAGTGTTATTTAGGGTACGCATATGCTTGTTCCCTCTTTTTGAAAGCACCCCCTATCTGAGGACTGCCAACATTTTCGAACCCCCCTTTCGCGGGCTTTTCGCGGGCTTTTCCTGCCTTGGAGACCCCCCTAAATCAGGAAAAATGCTCTATGTACCCCCTTAAATTCGGAATAATTTCTCAGGAGTCCAAAGAGATGAGAGAGAAAAAGAAAAAACACCCCCTTTTTAAAGAAATCTCTGGGTGAAAAGTCAAATACACCCCTTTGTTTACAATTCTCGGGCCGGACTTTGTCGCACGAAAAGTACCCCTTTACCGGACATTTTGGCAACACGCATGCGGTCATTCCGACCTCTGAGTGGGGGGGGGGGGGGGGGGGGCCGGGGTCGTGAGACGTAGTATAAATTATGCTTTGATGCCGCACAATGCACAAAGACAGTGGTCCGGTACTTCACCAGTAGTACTTGCAAACATTATCTCGAGTGTATAAACCGTGTCGTTATCAGGGGCGTCGCTAGATCTTTTTCAGTTAGGGAGGGGGGTGGAGGGTGTAGAGGCCACCGATTACCGACAAAACGAGCCACCAATTACCGACAAATATAAAAATGCCAATGTCCAAATGTCTACAAATTTAACCCTTTATTTTTCAGTTTCCCCCTCACGCGCGAAGCGCGGAAGCTTTGACACTTCATTAAATTATTAGAGAAAAAGACGATCCGTTGTACCGTTCTAGACTCTTAATCCTTGTCTAAATTCAGTACCCCTCCCACTTTCGCGCGAAATGCGGAAGCCTTGACGTTTCAATAAATTATTACTCTTAATTCCTTGTCTGAATTAATGTGCAATCTGGATCAAAATCCAGCATAATATATTTATTAAAAAAGGGTTCTTGTAAAAGTACTCATGATATATCTTTTGTATTCATTGGATAACAAATTTCAAAGTTAAAGGTAATACAAAGTTTTGGTATTGGATCATGAATTTGGTTCAAATGAACATATTGGAAGCATATATGCGATCCTACAATATTCAGTGATCGTTGTCGTGGTTAAAATCTAAGTCTAAAGTTATGAAATTGTAAATAATAAACTCTTTATGTTGTATAGCTCCCTCTCAAGGTCAAGATATTAATTAAGCTTTATACAATGTTTCTTGTCTAAAATCGACCAATTAGCTATTCCCGTTTGGAAATTACATATACATATACAACTACATATATACAACTACATATTCTGACATTTTCATGGTCGCAGCTACCATTGTACGGCCTTAGGCGCAATTTGAAATTTATCAAAATTTACCGGGAGCATCGGTAAATTTTTATATTCAATTTTTCTCAAAAGC